AACACTCTGTACTTAAATTCGATAACAATTCTAAATGGACTCCTCGAGTCACTGCACAGGTAAACAATGAAATATACACTTTTGTACCATCCTTTAAATACAAAGGGCCAGCGAAATCTATGCCACTTACCTCAAATGGTTGAGCTTTCTCCACTCGGTCAGCTGGAAGAGGAGCCGATATCTCGTGTCCAGCTTTAGCATTATATTTTTTACAAAATCTACAATCATGTAACACAGATTTTACAAAAGGTCTAGCTTTTAAAATCCAAAATTTCCCTCTTGCACTAAAGTTTCATTTACACCACTGTGGAGTACCTTTTCATGATAATTCAAAATAATTAAACGAGAAAAATAATTATTTGGTAATATTATAGGTTGAATTTCATCGACATCTAATGATGATTTTACTAATCTACTTCCAACTCTTAAACAACCTTTTTCATCCATTACTGGATTTAATCACATATTTCATTTTTGGTCACAGACCAATCACTCTATTCTGTGACTTTAAATTATTAATGAATCTAAATACATATGACGTGATTCTTAAATTTTACCACTAAAGTTTTCTAATTTTAACACAGGTTGTAAAGGTTGAACACTGCTAGTAACTTGAGTAACAACTCTTTCTTCAACACTATCTACTATGTTACAATGCTCGTTCACTTTAGGCCAATTTATTTCATCTTAGTGAAGCCATGGAGGTCCATGCCACCACACTTGATCTACTACAAGATCACTCACTTTAACACCACGTGTGATTTTATCGGCTGTATTATCTGAGCCAGGACAATGATGCCACATACTCGGGGATGTTTTGTCCTGAATTTCAGACACTCGATTTTGTACGAATGTTTTCCATTACCGTGGTGTGTTCTTTATCCAGTGAAGCACAATAAGAGAATCTGTCCATAAATGAATCTTAGCTTTGAGGAAAATGCACACGGACTGTAGTTACAAGTCTTGCACCTAACACTGCTGCCATGAGCTCGAGTCTTGGTAACGATAATTTTTTCAGGGATGCCACTCTGCTCTTGGCTATCACTAAACTTGCTGCAGAATATTTTAAGCCACAGAATTTCACATATACTGCTGCTCCGTAAGCACTTTGAGATGAATCACAAAAACAATGTAGTTCCAGTGTTTCAGGCATTTCATCAACATCACGAAAATACCACCGAGGTATCTGGATATTAGGTAGATCACATAAATGCCTATACCATTTGTCCCACTTGTCTTGCAATTCTGATGGTATAATTTCATCCCAATCAACACCTTTCAGCCATAAATCTTAAAACAGAACTTTTGCATGAATAACATGTGGAGCAAGAAACCCAACAGGATCAAAGATTTTTGAAGCAGCTTTCAAAACACAACTTTTTGTTTGGTCGTTTGACTGGATGAAATCAGTAATGTCTTTTGCATTAAAACAGAAGATATCCTTAACTGTATCCCAATGAAGTCCAAGAAGCTTTGAAGGAAAATCGTAGTCAGGCAATTTAAAGCTAACGAAGTTGTCACTTGATACTGGTTTTTTACAGTATCCGAATTAGAATTCCATTCGGTCAAAGTCATTAATGCTTTTTTCATTATATCATTGGCTTCATGATATACTTTTACAGCTTTTTCCTCCTTATCTGATCCTTTTTGTGTATTCGAGTTGTTAAATATTTGCAAGGCCATTTCATTTTGTTCTTTGTCAGAAATATTTTTAACTCCTATAGATTCGATAATATTTTAACTCCTATAGATTCAATATCCCAAAACGATTCGACGCGTTTTAGAAGTTTCTCTTCTACACTTACGTTTAAACATGCATCATGGATTTGAAAGTCTGATGAAGAAAATTTGCCTTGTATACACCACTCAAACAAGGTTTTCATCACTACCACATTTCTGTTTATCCTTTTTATTTCTTTGCTTGCTATTTTCCACATACTGTCTGCGCCGATTAAAACGGAAATATGATTCATTCCATCCGCGCTGCAGCAGTCTGTTAAAGTGATGCCGAATTATTGGAGGTTGGATTTTATTTCTACATCTGGTACTCGTATATTGGCATTTGTTATGACGGGTACTTCAATGACTTCGAGATTTATGTATTTTTCAGGGTCATCAATATTTCAGAGCCTAAGTTCAGCTTTCTTTCGATGCCAATGTTTCCCCTTCTTTTCACCGAATATATGCAGATTTGAAACAGATTCTCCTTTCACTGGTAATTGTAATTTTCTTGATAAATCTTCTCGAATTGCAGAGATTTGTCAAGAAGAAGAAGCTGTCTACTGCTGTCAAGAAGACATCTCACAATACAATTCTTCTTTCTACCCTGAGCCACAGCATATACATCATTTGAAGCATAATATTAGATCCAGTTTTGGCAGAAGAATTTTGAACATTTTCCGCTGATGTTTCGGTTTCCTTATTTTTTACACTATAGACAGCTGATGCGGGATTTACACACACACTTTCATGATGTTTACCGCGGCAATTTTTGCAGGAAAACTGTTTGTTCTTACAGTTGATAGCTAAATGTTTACATCCAAAACACAGAAAACATTTTCCTGTACGTTTCAAAATGTTGCATTTCTCATCAGAGTTCACCTCAGTACATTTATATTTCGTATGGTCTTTTTTATCACAAAATATACATTTGTATCCAATTGTTGATAAAGCTGAAGCAGTCGGAACTTTCGGTTTATAATTCGGATAAACTTTCGTGCGTTGTTCATTTTGACGAATGTATGGTTTCTGATTCGTTTTCGCAGAGTTCATTAAACTTGCAGCTTCTCGACAGTTAACTTCCTTTTTTAAGAATTCTATAAGTTCTTTTATATCAAATCCTGCTTCCATTTTTCGACTTCGATTAAATTCCAAATTTAATTCCTCTGGAAATTTCTGCAAAATGATAGGACAGAGAATATTTCCATAACTTCCAGAAGTAACATTTAACGATTCTAAACTTCGAATGTTGACTTTGCATTCATCGTTCATACAAATCCTCGATTATTTCAGTTTTCTCATTTAGTGGAATATTTATTTGCTAAATTCGTTTCGACTTAAATCAGTTTCGTAGTTAATTGTCTTACAACCGATCGTTTCCTGTTCAAATTTTCAAGAACGCCCTCCATTTTCGAACTATTCAGTCTGTCGATTTTTTTGTTCGTAATAATCCCGGTTTGCAGGCACCATAGACAAAATATATGTAAGTCTCTAATAAATCAAACTGGATCAAATGTAAAGTAATAAACAGAGGAGCGTTATTCCACACAACGTTTATTGATGAACACCAAAGACGAACTGATACATACATATACATAATTATGACATCATAGTTTCTTTTTACAAACACTACCGCCATCTATTGGCAATCTAAGGATACATAATCATAAACTTGTTGCTCGGTGCATCACTAAATTCTAAAAATTCTGCCACACTGGTTATGGTGCCAGTCTTGACCTTATTTCATATTTATTTTCAATACTCATATTATTAAAGAAATAAGACTATCAGTTTCTTCTTTACATTCTAAGTACATGCAGCTCTTTAGAATAACAAAAATCTCTAATTAAATCTGAAAATTCTAAAATGAAAGGAAATTTATTGAAAAGAGAAATTTGTTTTATAAAGAGAGAGAAAAATTATTCTTCAAAGATACATTGCTGACATATTAACAAATTAAGAGATGAAACAGAGACTAGGGGAAACATTGATATATATATATATATATATTAATTGTAAGAAAAAGATGCTAAAGAGAAGGAAATCAATGTGAATTAGCTAAAATATCTAGAAAATTGTTCAAGTTAAAAAGACCTGTTACATTTTGTTGTTGCTAGCTTAGAATCATTATCATAAATTATAACTGCTATAAAATGTTCTTAATGTTTTTTAATAGATATTTTTTAGAAATAAAAAAAAACTGTAATTGTAATAATGTGAATCTGTTATAACTAAGAGTATGTGTAATTTAATTATTTGTAACCAATTACTCACATTTAGAAGTTATCTCTATATGTTAAGGAGAGTTACTTATCTCCATTCCTTAATCCTTATTGTGTATACAAGACACAACACAAAAATGTAAAATTTAACATAAAAATTTATTCCTTACAACTAATAAGACAATAGTACAAAACAACCTAGCATCTCTGGAATTTCAGTGTCTTATTGGAACTTTATATTAAATATTGTACATTAATTAACATGGTTGCAACTTCAGCAAATGTACATGAAGCTATGATACTAACTGAGTCAGACAACTTAAAAACAAGTGCAAATAACTTTCAACGCTTACAACCGTCTAGCATTCACATCTGTTCTGATCAGTGGCTTTCTATCTGTAAGCAACCAACTGCAGTGGCAACAGCCAAGCTTCTGTTATGAGTCATGCTGATTACTATTTTACTTTACAGTTTAACTTATGCCACTTAACATATGATTTGCGTATAGCTATGAATTGAGCGAATAAGTGATGAATTGAAGCAAAAAAGAAAGAATCAATGTAAAGCTAACCTTACGTACAATTTAAATAAAAAGCCTGTGATCTTTAAAATATGTGAGATTATAAGTGTAAAATATAAATGTTTAAAGAAATTTTGTAATTTAATGCTAATTACTTGAAAAAAATTGTAAAGTTAAATTTATTTTGTAATTAAGTTAAATATTGCATTGTGCTTAGTTATAATAATCTATCCTACTTTGAGATTTATTTTATTCTTACAAATTACAAAAGTGAAGTTCGTATGTAGATAATTGCTGTAGTTTATTGAGTTCCTATTCTCTTGATAGGTCTTTTTTTTTTTTTTTTTCCGTAGCCCTTAAAAGTACTTAACGTTTCATATGCAGAAGTGTGATGCATCCTGAAAATGCACTTGTCGTTTAGTTGAAATAAGTAGGGGGTGGTTTTATTTTATGTACATGGAAAGTTGGTATTTAAATCAATTTCTTATGTGATATTTATATTGTATGGTAATTTATAACTAAAATTCTTTTTCTTTTAGGTTTCTGTCATTGCATTGCCACTTATTTCCAAATTTTAGTTTTTGTCCAAGCTGATAAATCCTCCTGTTTGTAAATACATAACTAATTTTGTGTTGCCAAATGCCTTTTTGATAGTGCCTTAGGAAAGATAGCCAGATAAAAATTTCATTGTTAAATTTTGATAATGTATGTAAGTGTGTAAGGTATTGAATTATGTGACTAAAAGCCTTTAATAAGTATATTCTTAAAATTGCCTATCACTCTGTAGCACATGTTAATGTAGAAAAGAGCATTTAAATGTTTCTATTTTTGAAAATTTTGACTTTCTTAAAAATTTTCTAATGTGTTGTTGAAATGCATTATCTTAAGTTTATAATGTATTATTTTTGAAAGCATGTTGTGCCACAAATGAATTATCTCACTGTATATATTCTAGATTGTATTTTTATAGCTAATTTGCATATTATTTAGAAAAAATAATTTTGTACCTAATATAAAATTAGTCTTTATATAGATTTTACTGTACAGAATCTGTGATTTAATGTTGGACTTTTGTTTTAGAGTATATGAAGTTCTGCTTCAATGAATTCATATGAAACATAAATTTGTTTTCTGTTAATTAGATCCTCTTTAGAATAAGGTGTTTAAAATTGTTACTAAGTTTCATACTGTAACCGCCAACAAACAGTTAAACTGGAAGAGTACTTTTTTTTTTTTTTTTTTTTTTTATCCCCTGTAAATCTCCAATCTGCCAATTTTAAAATTATCTGAATTTAGATAGCTTTTTCAATTATTATAATAGTATAGGGTTCCAACCTTAAATTTACAGCTATGTGGGTGGAACATCAAGAACTGGTAAGCGAATAATCGCTTTATAGGGACATAAACTCAAGAAGGAACAGAAACATAAACTCAAGAAGGGTTAATTACGCTTTATTGCTCAAAATAAGGAACACCCTGCCAGGAAATTTGTAAGCTGAAATTAGAAGAAACACAAAAATAGCTTTAACTAAAGATAACTGTTAAAAACTTGGGATAAACCTTACATCAGAAAAAATTTTAATCCCTAAATTTGAAAGGAACGTTCTATGAAAAAAATTTTGATTAAGAAAAGCTAATTGTCTCATTTTTAATGAAAGTTAAATTTGTCAAAATTCCATTTTTTAGTGATTTTTCACTGTGATTTAGTTAATTTCTATTTTTCAGTTTGGTTCTTTGAATCTGCTCTGGAGCAGACTGCCAAACTCTAGGTAAATGCAGGTAAAAATACTGTACTCTAAACCAAACATTGTCATAGTAACAGAGAACAAACAAAACATTAATAAATTGACAAATACATCTTCATACTGAACTCAACAAACTGAGCAGGTACAGACTGCTGACTGCAATGTAATGATTAATGTTAATAGAATTTAGGTTAACAAGGAAGCATGAATGCTGTTTATTCGTGTATGCTAAACAATTTGTGACTTTTGGATTTGGATCTTTTTTTCTACCAACAAGGTCGAATTAGCGAAGATCAGATGACCTAGATTGTACTGTATTTTTAACAGTGTAGGCTGATTGATGAAAAATATAAAAAAACTTTTATGTTCTTGTAAATCTGCATTTAAGAGAAAAATGTGTCTTGAATAAGGATTTTATTCAATTCAATGAAGCAGAATTTAATTTTATCAGTTGCTCAAAATGCTTTTTTTTTTTTTTTTTTTTTTTCTTTCCTTCTAGGAGTATATTTTGGTTTGACAATAAGCAGGAGATTAAGTATTTATTTTTATGAATTTGTCATTCATGAGATCTGATTATTCAAATCATGTATTAGATACATGTGTTACATTCTTAGTTTAATAAAGATAAATTTCTGCTTTAAGCTGGAGGCTAATAAAGCTGATATTAATAAATTAAGATGCTGTAATGGTTGCCAATTAAAACTAATGTTATAAATGGTAGCTAATTAAAGCTAATGTTATAAAGATTAAGCTGAAGTAATGGTAACATTACAGAAAAGCCATATGGAAAGTTAGTTAACTCCATAGACGTAATGTAAACCAGTTTGTCTTCTACGTTGCTAGAAAGAAGAGGGAAAATTTGTTAAGGGATTTGGCAACGGAACCTGTAGGAAAGAATTTTCCCCTCTATGATATACCGGACCTGGCTCTGCGATGTGTACCGGAAATTGAGGTGGTGTGGTGTTTTTAATTTTGGCAAAGCACACTAGGGCTATCTGCCTAAGGGAGGAATGCCTTCGTGGAGGACTTTCTAAGGGAAACTGGCTCGTATACACGTTACACATGGGGAAAACCACGAAAACGCCCATGTTCAGGTTGGGAACCTGATTTTACTCGTGTTCAGGGCATGGTGGGCCGAAATTGAGGAACACGGGTTAAGATTAATAAGAAAATTAGGTGAAGTTTCACATTCACTGGCTGTTGAACTTGCATTATCCATATCGCAGTTTGATGTCTGATTTTATATCCATCAATATGGAGGAGGTAAAAATGGAGTCGCACAGCTCTAAACTCTTGATAAAAATGATCATCGAACCTGTTCAAACTTCGACATCAGCTTCGAGCTTTGGCACTTTTTGGTGACAGCACAGCTATTTCCCTTTTCATTTGAAGGGAGCCACTCCTGCTGCTGCGAAGTTTTCCTTCTTAACAATACATATTTTTTGCACAAGCCATTATTACTATTAGCAGTTATTAATTTACAATTGAATAAGCTTACACTCTATCCACTTTCCTTCTGAAAGACATGAGCTTCCTAAATGATTTAGAATATTTTGCTAATTTTCTTACAAATCTTTTTGATGAAGTTGGAGTTTATCTCTGTTGGATTAAAAGAAAACAGATAACTGTTTGTTGAGAGATTCAGTATAAATTCTTCTACATTTCACTTGTGGTAACCGTGTTTTTCATTGTTATATTTATGGGCACAGAATAATTATTTTTATATTTCTTTAGCATATCAAGTTCATGCGTGAATCTTTCATAATCTTGTCTTTCAAGGCTATTAGAATAGGTGGGTGCTGTATCAAAACTGCTTTTGGTTTTGACGTTTTTGAATATAAAATGCATATAGCAAGCCTCTCATCAGCTTTCAACCTGGGGTTTAGGTACTGGATGTATTTAGGATCTTACTCTTTTCACTCATGTAGAATGCGTTCTCATAGTTGGTCAGAAACTATTCATGATATTTTAATAACATCTGCTTAAAATTTGACTAGTTTGAGGTTAAAAGTAAATGAAGTTTTCCATAGCAATATAATATTGTTGTATACGTACAGGGTTTATAATAGATTGAATGAACAAGTTCAATAATAGGTCAATAAAAATTTGTTTTTATCAAAAGGAATATTTCAGAATTTTCTACAGAAATATTTGCATAAGAGTTCACAGTATAATCAGTAGCTACAATTTAAACTACTGAAAAAAAAAAGAAAATAAATAATACAGCGCAATACGAAACGCATCTAAAAAGAAGGCTAACTCTGATATATCAGTCCACACCTTGCAAAAGCAGTAAATAAGCAACTGAGTTGAGATGCTCTCTCTGGCTTTAATAGTTTTCAGCTGGTCGTGAGAAATTTCCAGCACTTTCTGCTTTTCGAGATTTCTGGAAAGCAATAAGAAGATGGAATTACAACTACACCCAACATTGTGGTCAATTACATTTATTCAATTTCAATACAAATTACCGAGATATCCATTTACTCAATTAAATGCACGTGCCCCTGTATTCTTACTTTTCTGGCATAGATTTCTCTTCAAATTTGTCTTGCGCTGCATTGCACGAGGAAATACAACAATTTTACCTATAACTCTACTAAAATTACTCATCTAAATACAAAAATTATAACAATATTTTTTAATTACTTGATGCAATGTAAATGACTGAAACTATCTTCAGTTTTTATGTGCTGTAGGAAATAGACTGTGAATAGGCGTGGAAATTTTTTTCCTTCATCTTTAGTTGAAATGTCCATTGACTGTTGTGTAATTTGGTCATTACCTCCCATTTTACACCATTGCCAAAATCAAACTCTCTCTGTGGTTTTCTATTGCTAAATGTTAAATATTGAGACTTGTAAATAGAGTAATCCAACCTTGAATGGATATGTAAAATTAATATCACTTTAAGTCTAGTACTCAGATTTCCAGCTTTGTTCACTGTTGTTGATTTGGCTGCATGTAATTTAGATTTACATATGTAAGTATTCTTTGGATTTTTGTTGCAGATAGCAATGAAATGTGCCTAGATCTTCATTTATGTTAAATAGACTGTTGTGGTTAAAAACATTTCATTCACTGCTCTGAAAAAAGTG